ACCCTTTCCCCAACTAACCTACACCAACCACCTTGTGCCAAGAATGGTAGACGCGCTTCAACTGCCGAGGATAGGATGTTGAACACTTGAAGAAGCGCCTTCAAGCCAGTCTATTAACAAATATACTAACCCACAGGGATTTGTACGATTGTAACAGCTGAGAGGACATATACTGAAAGGATCTATGTATGGGCTCGAAGGAGATACCGCAGATGTACATTAGGCTTCGTGTTGATAGATTAGTGATAGTTGCCCTTTCGGCTGAGCCGCCGGGCGTTAATGAATTGTGTGTGTGTGTGTGTGTTATTCTGCTGGCACAACTTTGAAACGCGTCGCAAGATTTCCTGTTGGTCTAACCATGAACATGGAAATTGAATCGTCTTCCAGTACGACATATTCGACCTTTTCCTATCACTTGGTGGATTCAAGACAAGGACTGAAGGCGAATGCGCAAAAATTGGTTCTTTTCTTGTACTACTTCAAGCTCATGCTGTACGTTAGGTTCTCTCCGCTCAAGACCTCGACACTCTCAAACACCAAACACCCAAATTTCGTAGTGGGATAAACACATAACCCGGCAAATAAGCAGCCGAAGAAAAAGGAGCTAAACAGTAGAGAATTGGGCAGGTCTGTACTTGGTAATTACACTTTAGTCCACCTACTGGCGTTGTTGCGCTCGGCGAAATGATCGGGCACAACTGAGCACTAACATTAGGGATATCGACTGTCTCATACTAGTCAACGAAATTTGGCAAGCATTAGATTTATAGCTGAAGATGCATGTTCCGGTCTCGCATGAGTCCCCACTTCGCCTATTCGCCGCCTCAATTTCAGAACGGCACTCGCGTGAGAAAAGAATCTGTCAATCAGATACAGTTCCTTGTGCACACTGGCCGACCGCGCTGTGTCCTAGGACCTTTGTATACCAGCGTACTTGCATCGAGCCTTTGCTTCTGCCCGGGTATCGGTTCGAGAACAATCTATCACTTCTGGCCAGGATTTGCTCGTGTCTTTTTTTAGCTCCCTCAGGAATTCCTCCTCTTCAGAGGACCACTCCTTGCCTCTTCTGGAGGCTCCATGGTGCTCAAGGCGACTAGAGGGATGGTCCATCTCACCTGCTGGCTTCTCGCCTTTGTCCTCCGACATTGCTGTGTCCGGTTTATCGAAAGCGCGTGATGTTATATTTGCGTATATCTAATTGCAAAATTGTACACGTACGCCGAAGGGTGTAGAAAAAAAGATAGTAAGAAGTGCATCAAAATCAAGCGACGTGCCTTCCTCTGAGCCGGATATAGGATGCCGGGCCCGCTTTCACGGCTGTTCACTCGACAGTTGCAGTTTTCGCTTGCCTAGTTTCGACCGTTGACTGCTGGTGGAGGGCTCCGGCGGGATATCACGCAACGGAACGTTGGCTTCGGCGGCGTCGTGTGGTGTTTGCGTATGGCCTTGGCCGTGTGGGCTAATAGATTGATGATCGCTATCCTGCCTTTTGGCTTGTGTGTCGGAGTCTGAGTGGTAAACGGATGTGTCACACAGAGCGACCGGGGGGTCAGGATACGGAAAACTCGTCTCTGGTCCAACTGAACTGGTTTCCGGGTGCAAGGACTACAATTCTCCAATCATCCACAATCCGTCGTCGGCGAGAATAACCGGGTCAACTGGAATGCCATCGTGTTCGTCAGACAATGGCGGGCTGTGCTCCGAACTGAGCGTGCTGGGCGATGGGGCGATGACTTGAAGGGCCGGCACGTCAGTCAGACTATTCGTGGCATTTTGACCATCCCACAGCGTGATCGAGTGTGACACATCACCTTCACGATCCTCTACAGATCGCTCGGGCGTTTCTGGTTGTCGTGCATCAGGTAAAGTGTCGGATGACGATATAGGCGTTTGCGGTGGTGACAGTCGGGAGCCAGAGAATTTATATGGGGGGCCTTTTGCACTCGTGTTTACGCAAGCATCGGCTGGCGGCCGCGCCGGGAGTGGATGCTTGGGCAATGGCAAAGTTCGTGGCCGGGCGTTCATCACAAAGCTTAAGGGCAGAAGATTTGTTACACGGACTGTGTAAACGGGGGAAATTGGAAGGCAGATGTTGCTTGGGTAGAGGAAATCGTGTGGGAAGTGCAGGTTGTGTGGTAGAGGGGTTTTTTGTGGGAGAAGGGAAAGCCCATGGCCTGAAGTTCTCAATGTGAAATGCAGACAACATATTGCAAGAAACAGGAATATCCGGATCTTTTAGCAGGGTTGACTCTGTGAATATTCGGACCCGGTTATGAAGGTCAGGGGTATGGTCAATGAAGAGAGGGAAGCGTAGACAAGAATTGGGGAAGGGGTCTGGTTTGACAGGGTCAAGTGATAGGGGAATTGTGCAGCTAATGAGAAAATCGAACAGTAACACTGCGACCTTCGCGCATCCTTATATGTCCTCTCAACGAGGCCTTGCGCAATGGAGAGTATGCCAAGCTGAAAAGACTCTCACCTTGGAATCTCTTCTGTACCGGCTGGCGTACCCACCCTCAATCAGGATCCTCGAACGAGCGCTGGAATTGAGAGCTCCCAGCCAATCGCGGCTAGCATGTTGCCTCCAAGCCTCCTATGTGAAGCCCCGGTTATTACACACAGACTACGGATAAGGATGCGGCAATTTTGCCATTGGCGGGTTGTAAAAGCCCATTCTCACATCGAACGGCATCAACTCCAGTGGGTCGAAAGCACGCGTTGATGGATGGGATGACATGCAACCCAGGCCAGATGAACTAGCTGGCCTCCTGGCTTGTAGACTCAAAGAGAGGGAACTAGTCCGCTAGACCACAGAATTCCCTCCCTGGCCGGAGTCCCAAAGCAATATAGACGAAGGGGCCATGCGACAACTGGACTTAAAGATTAACATGGGATTGAATAAGACAAGACATTCATACTTGCCAATGAAATGCATGCACGAGCGCGCCGCAAATGGCCATGATTTTGCGGATTCAGCATGGAAAAGGCACCCACATGTGAGAAGATGCCTGACCGGGAAAAACGGAGATAGCTCAGAAACTCAGACATAGACGAAGTGACGGCTGGACATTCCTTTCCAGGCATTCGTGGGCGATGCGGCGTAGCCGAAAGGGGGGCGAGAAAGAGGGGAAGCGCACGGCGCCATACCATATAAGGGAAATGTTCGGGTAACACGGCATTTCTGGGAGGGGCGGTGCCCTGGCTGAGGCGGACGGCAGAGAGGAACAAAGAAGAGAAAGTGCGTCGTCTTTCGAGGGAGAGGTGCCGGACTCATATAGATCGTGCGGGAGACTTGAGGCGGCAGGCGAAGGACGCAAAAGCGGCGAGAAGCGGCGCGATGCCCAAAACGGACCGCGCTATACCGTAACTGGCAGTCGTACTTCCGTATGTGACAGGCGGTGGTGGTGAGCAGAACGGCGGTTCAATGGGAGCCGTTTCTGGCGCCCCGCTAACCGTCACAACGAATACTTCTTGGTGGTACTATTGACTTAACACGCATCTTAGTGTATTCTACTATGTTACCCGACGATATTGCCTTTATTCGTTTATTTTCCTTTGAATATATACTGATAGAAGCGAAACCAGTGTTTGCCGTCCGCCTGCAAATTGACCTAGAATAATGACCTGTGTCTTTGCCGAAAAGCGTTAAAGCCTTTCGAATTCCAATTTTCCCACTTCGTTCTAATGTTTGTAAAGAGACATCTATTCTCAAGCATTATCAACTATAGCTCTCGTTTTGCCAAACCTTTTGTCTACACCGGCGCTTCGGCTTTTTAACTACACCGTCCAAGTGTTACACGTCAATGACAGAGGCAAGAACTTCACTTATCCGGCAGCTGCGACGGTCTTCAGGAAGTGGTACTTGTTCAGTTCTAAAAACTTGCGGAGGGCTAATAATGAGATATCTCTTCGAATCGATCATGGAGATCAAAGTGAATGTAATCGTCGATTGGCTTGTTCCATTTGACATCAGTAAGAATTTCCTGCGGTAGAATTGGAGGTACCAAGATATTAGGAATCATATGCGATCGAATAATAGGGCTCTGTCTCTATTTCTCCCTCATTTCTCCCTCCACTTTCTCCCTCCTTCGTAAAAGGGCCATCCATCCCCGCGTAATCCACCCTGCCCCGTTTCCCTGCGAATGATACAGTACTAGCGCCACATGGACTTTGCCGTCGGACCGCAGCGGTAGAGACCGAGAAATAGTGAGGGCACTGCGGGATGTACGCAGTGACCCATTTTGTCAAGTGAGGAGGCCAATCAGCAAATCCTTGGTATGGGGTGCAAAGCCGACTGCGGAGGGCTGTTTCGTAACCAATGAGAATCCGCCCCACTAAGCCCCCAAGAGAAGGCCCACTACTGAACCATGTCAGCGCTGCGGTGATAAATTGAGCTACGGCATTAGCTAGGAGAATATAACAGAGTCTTGCTGACGAGGTGTCCTCTGTTGAGTCTAAGACGAATGCAGCCGCCACACCTCGTGCTTTATGCTTCTATACGCGACGTTGTACGATCGCAATGGCTATAAGTCAAGGTTTCCTAATTTGAAATACCACCGTTACTCACTCCTCTTTGGTACTTGAAGCCCTGCATTGTCCTACTATAAACAGATAAAGTAGAATATCAAATAAAAAGTTGAGCAGCTGCACATTATTCGAGACCCTTCCGTGCATTACAATGAACATTCTAGTAGTATCCATACCGCTGCCTCTGATATTCAGCACACTTGTCCAAGGTCGAAAGACAGACCTCCAGCATAAATTTGGGAACAGACTCTAAAAGTCCGTCACAGAGTATAGGATTATCCCCATTCCTCAGAATCTTGAGGTTATCCGTCGTGAGCTGGACAACAAGATCTCTGAGCCCACGGTCGTGCTCCCCTGTTGAACTGTAAACTTCAACGACGGAGGAGCTGAATGAATCTTGGTCGGGATGTTCCAGGAAAGATTTCATAAAGTAATCCTTTGCTTTCTTCTTAAGCTCGTTGATCTGAAAATAATCACCTTGTGCGTACATTTGAGCGTGGAAGAAGGCCTGACAATTTTGGGAATCAGTAGAATTGGTTTTTCGTGATGGGTTTGGATATTGTTCAGTGTCTGCATCTAGCTCAAAATTATTTTCTGCCCATGTTTCGGGCGAACATTCAGAACTATTCTTTGAGTTCAGGTGGGCTTGGGTAATTGGAGCACCGTCATAAGTATAGTCGCCCGTGTACAAGAATTCGAGTGTCTTTTTGATGAGCACAGGATTGCAATTCTCGATGATGATCTCGCCGTTGCTTTCCTACGAGTTTCTATATCAATTTCATGATTGCACCCGAAAATAACTGGAGTATGACAAGTATCTCACCTTAAAGCGACTACTACAAACGACCTCAAAATACTTTGATTGGGGACAGAGAATGTTCCGATGGGCTGGAAAGACTTCATCACCACAAATAATGGACAAATCGCTGTACTTCGGATTGAGAAATTGACTAATGGATATCAGTAATTGTACGAGACAAGATTACTAACCGTAGTATCTAACCTAAGGACCAGGTCTTTCATTTTTCTGATAATTTGTTCGTTTGCAGAAACAGGCTCCGTAGGTACAACAGCTGTATCAGCGGGTTTGGATACTGCTGATCTTCCTTGTTTTTTTCTTCCTTTCGGCATCAAGGGCTCGTGGATCTATTCAGATAGGAGAAGGTGGATCCTATAGAAAATAAAAGAAAAGATTATTATTGCCGCTATTCATGAACAAGCGAACATCAGCTGCTATGTGGGAGCCCAGGAATTTATTCGGTCATCAGCTTCTTGCTGGTACGATGCTTTGCCCGGTGGGATGGCATATGTAGGTCTCGCATGACGTGGCCATGCATCAGCCATCGCCATCAGATTGTGCCAATAGTAATGGCATACATAGTAAGGTCAGAAAGACCATGGAATAGTACCCGGTTGCTCTACGAATACCGACCCCGAATCCGCTCAGGATCCATAGTATGCTGCTCATTTGGGGCATGAAGCCTGTTGTAGCAGTCGGAACAAGAAGAGAGTGGAATTTTTAATGTTCTCTAGTCTATAATATGTTAGAAGCCAACTGGGTTTCTTGCAAAAAAGGGCGATTTATACCGCGGCTATTGTGAGTTGTCCCGAGCTGACCGGCTACGTGTGTGACCCCACCAATCGCCCGTTTTTTTTTTTTTTTTTTTTTTTCATTGGTTTTTTTTTTTTTTTTTTTTTTTCATTGGTCACTCCATGCCAGCATGTGATACGACGCAGTCCCTTTCATGTGTCGCAAGAATCTATGGAAATACTGCACCTCTACACATACATGTGAGAACTATCCTCTTCGTTTCTTGGCCACCTGCACGCAGTTATAGTACTCGGGTTTGATTCTCAACACGCTGGGCAGACATGCACGCGCAAGCTGGCGCCCAATGCTTGCTTAGGCATTTCTGGAGCCCAGCTAGTTAGCTCCGAAACCTCTCCGGATCTAAGTCGACAAGCCTAGGTTTTCTCTTTGCCCGCAGTCTTCCCTTGCCCGCAGTTTTTGTTGAGATAAGTGACAGTGAGGTCGATTCGTGTTGATTGACTTCTTGGATTTATCTTTTACAGGGGCGGGATGCCTCGTATATATTTCCCAATCCCTGCCATAAGGTTCAGCCACCATAATATTCAACACAGCCACCCGTGATACTCAATACTCCCACTCGATGGCAACCACCATCAAGGTTGCCAGTGACCATCCATCACGGTGGTGAAGGGCCCCATTAAAAACTTCAAAAAACCTTTTAAAAGGAAAAGAAGGAAAGGGTACCCGTCCAGTAGTTTCTGCTCGAGATCCACAAGCCGGGCGGTGTCACTCAATGCCAAGCCCTCTCCGAAACCATTCAAATCGTTCTCGCGCAAGAGGCTTTGTGAACCCATCAGCAATTTGCTCAGTAGTTGGGATGTATTTTAGCTCTACTGTTCCGAGGTCTTGGACCTCTCCTTGCCACTTGCGTTGGATTTCCATATGCTTCGTACGGGAATGATATTGCGGGTTCGAGGACAGAGCGATGGCTCCTTGGTTATCACCACAAATGATCGTTGCGGCTTTTCCTTGGCTCATGTTTAACTCATTAAGAAGTCTTCTCAACCAGATTGCTTCTTTGGTTGCTTGTGTCTGGCCTAGGAATTCAGCTTCACAGGTCGAGAGGGCAACAACGCTTTGGCGCTTTGATTGCCAACTGATCGCCCCACTCCCGATATTGAAGAGATATCCAGCTGTTGATCGTCTGGTGTCGCGACATCCACCCCAGTCTGCGTCTGTAAAGCCTTTCAGCATCTGGGGCTGACCTTTGTACGTGAGCCTGAGGCCTTTTGTGCCGTTGAGATATCGCAAGATGCGTCGGGCGAGATTCATGTGTTGCGGTCCGGGATTTGCCAGATACCTGCTCGCCATTGAGACGGCATACGCGACGTCCCCCCTAGTCCCAAGCATGATGTACATTAGGGATCCGACAATGCGTTGGTATGTGACTCTTCGATCTGGGGAACAGTTGTATCCCGGACTGTTCTCGGGAAGTGGTGAGGTTTCTATCGGCGTGCTGACGGGAGCGCCGCTGCTGATTCCGAACTGGTGAGCGACCTTGTCAATATACGCTTCTAGACTGAGGTAGAGCATCCTGTTTTGACGGTCTCGCTGAACGGACATTCCGAGATAGTAACTGCATGGTCCTAGATCTGTCATTTGGAAGCGGTTTCGGAGGCTCCATTTGATCTTCTTTATTTCTGCACTGCTTGGCCCCACGATCAGGAGATCATCGACATACACCGCGATGTACATATTGCTCCGGATGAAGATCCCAAGATCAGAGCTGATCGGCTCGAAGCCGAGGTTCCGAAGGAAATTTGTAAGGGTCTGGTACCAAATCCGAGGAGCTTGTTTGAGGCCATACAGTGCCTTTCGAAGTTTGCAGTCCTTAGATGTGCCGTCGCTCATGTGGTGAGGCTGTTCGACGTAGATCTCGTGGTCTATGTACCCATACAGGAAAGCCGTTTTGACATCCATCTGTTCGATCTCGAGATCTAGGGCCGCCGCGATTGCGAATAGAGCTTTGTAGCTCATTGGCTTGACCACTGAGGCAAATGTTTCGTCATAGTCGATCCCCTCTTCTTTTGTAAAGCCTCTCACTACCCATCGGCATTTGTAGCGGATGACTTCGCCATGCGGTCCTCGTTTGACTTTGAAGACCCATTTTCCACTGAGGATCCGCCGATCTTGTGGAGGCTTAACAAGCTCCCACGTTTTGTTTTGGTTGAGCGAGTTCACTTCTTCAAGCATTGCTCTTTCCCACTCGGGCCAGCTTCCATCGTTCTTCGCTTGATGCAGAGTCCTTGGTTCAAAAGGTTCTGTTTCCTTTGCAGCCACTGTTAGGAATGTTGGGATGACATTCTCTTCAGATATATTCATTAACGCAAGCTCTTCTTCGCTGTCACTAGGAGTGTCCAGCGTGACCTGCGGGGCGCGAATCTTAAGTTCAGGATGGTGTTCTAGTGCTTCTTGTCGCACTTCGTGCACTGGGTGGTCAACTTGGAGTTCTGGATATTGTTGCCATTCTCCTGAAACTAGACCTTGTTGAGCGTCGTCTTGTTGCTGGTCGCCGCCGGGTGGTGAGTCATTCCTTTGGACGATGTCTTGTAAATCATCTGCAAATGGTCCAAAGGTATCGTCACTCCGTGTAGGCGACAAGGTCCTGTCTCCCTGTACAGCAACAGGTGGCTGCGAGTCATCGTCACTCGATTGAGACAACGCTGGTGTTTGCGAGTCTTCGTCACTCGACTGGGTTAGCACTCGTGAGTTATTGTTACTCGATCGAGGCAGTATGTGCGAGATATCTTTCCTCGACTTAGGTAGGGCTCGCTCTGGAGGTGCCATCGATAATTGGCGCCCAGAGGCGGGCACGGATGCTTGCCGTATGCCTACCGACGGTTGGTTTATTAGTCCCACCGTCTCACTCCCCCCTGCGGCAGCAGCCGTTACCACAGGTAAGCCGTCTCGTCTGGCCACCACATCTTCTCTGGTCTGTGTGGAAGGAGCTGTAAGGACTTCATGAAATTCAGCGTTTGGGGTCCCAACGATTCGTCCGTCTTCCAGCAGGATACGGTAGTTGGTATTTCCCTCATAGCCTAGTAGGATGCATGGCCTTGTTCTCGGCTCCGTGAGCTTCTTCCTCTGCTTGGGGGGGATCAAGTATTCCCCTTTGGATCCGATAACTCTGAGCCGTGATAGATCCGGTTTGTCGCCGTACCATGCTTGATACGGAGTCATGTTGTGCTTTGATGACGGCGACCGGTTGGAGAGAAAAGCTGCGGTTCGAGCAATTTCTGGCCAGAATTTAGGTGGTAGCCTCGCATGTGCTAGCGTAGGCCCAACCCGATCATAAATTGTCTTGTGGGCTCTCTCAGCAACCCCATTCTGCTGGTGTTGATCAACGCCTGTGACCTCAGCTTGGATTGCCCGTGAGAACAGTGTGAACTTCATCTCTTCTCCCACTTGTTCAGGGATCCGGTCGAGGCGTATTCGTCTACATTTGTGTTCAGGGCGTTCGTTATGATCAAGAAAGAACCGTAGTGATTCTATGACAAATTCTTGTCGTCGTGGTATAGGAATTATCTCGATCCACCCCGTGAAATCATCGACGATCGTCAGCCAGTAACGGCTACCATCCAGGCCCTCATCAAATGGCCCTGCAACGTCAATATGGAGGAGTTCCATTGCGTATTCTCCTCTTCTGCTCCGTCCTGACTGGTTATGGGGCTTTTCAATCATTCGTCCCTGGAGGCATGGGTTACATGGCTGACGTGGCTCCATGTCCCGGATGCCGTGGGCCTGCTTCTTAAGCCGTTGTAGATTCGCGTCGCTTAGGTGAGCTAGGCGGTTATGCCACAGAGTCATTTGCGGACTGATATGGTAGGATGGAAAGGTGAGATTTGTCCACAAATTGAGTGCGTAGACGCCATGATACTGGCTGGCAGTGTATAGGTTCTTTCCGTTTGACTTATTGCGAATACTAGCACTTTGGCTTGAGAATTCGATTTTCGCTCCTCTTTTGAAAAGTTGGAGCACTGATATGAGGTTTGCGTGTGCAGATGGGACGTAGAGGACATTATCAAGCACAAGCCATTTCCTTCTGCCTCGTACATTGCATAGGACATTGACCATTCCCACTCCCGAGGGAGTCGTTGAGGTATCGACACTCCTCAGTGGTGGTCCATGATACTTGTCCATTTTTACAAATCTCGAGGCGTTATTGCAAACATGCTGAGCACATCCACTGTCAACGATCCACGCATCACGGATCGAGAGGGTCTTTGTAGCCATCATTGAGGGGATGTGGTCGAACAGGGAGAAGTTGCCTTCAACATCCTTTCCGAATGCTCTATTAACATCTTCTCCGGAGGTGTTTGTCGCCATGAAGGTGGGCTTCGTTGGATCCCTTGGGCCACCTGCATCGTCATCTTCATCATCCGTGGAGAGCCGCCTCTTCTGCGACTTGCGTGCGCCTGTATGTGAATTTCCTGGCTTTGACTTATGGCCCTTTCCGTCTTTCTTCTGCTCCTTCAGTCTTGGGTTCTTGCTGAAGCATTCAGAGTCCACGTGATAAGGTTTCCGGCAGAAGGAGCAATAT